CTGTCCTTGGGCGATGTTTATTTCCAATAGCAACTAAAGAACGAACAACAAACGAGGATGCACAGTCTGACATTCATCAAAGGCATTTCAATGGATGCATCAAATAAACAAAGTTTAACAAAGAGAAGTTCATATGTAATTTGACTGTACTGAAATCGTTGAATCTGAATTCTTTGTCCTATGCTGTGAACAACACTTAAAATAAACATTATGTGGATGGTGAGAAAATAACCATCTCATTCACTTTTATCCACTCCTGTCGCGAAATGGTTCTGTTGTTATATGATCAATAAAGTCTGTTTACTCAAAGAACAACATTTCTCTTGTTGAAAAATGATCTGTCTGTTGTCGAAGGATTGGATGGCATAATTTGCAGTGTCACGTTTCATTGCCGTTTCATGAGTTGAGGAGAAAGTCTGTCATATATTAGAATAAGTAGCATGGATGAATAGAATTTTGTCCGCAACCTTATCATTAGAAGATGAGCTTCTTTTGGACTCTAGTAGTTGTCGATTCTGTACAATAGATGATGAAGATTAGTGCACCTCAACTTCTGTGAGATTCAGTTAGCATGAAAACAAAAGAAGATACTTTTGGATATTGATCACTGACACTCACAGCACTGGAGGCTCACTTATCTTGACTAAGGATGATTCGGCTATTCAGGATCAAGATGCATACGCAAATATCCTCTCCACCATTCACATCCTAGATAGTCGAAATAGGGAAATATTTACAGTGGTGTGTCGCACAATTCATTTATAACCCCTCTTTAAAGCTTTTTATTACTTGTTTTTATAAATTTCATTGTGGGAACAATTAGTAAAGACAACGTCCTGTACCTTGGCATAAGCGTTGGATCATGGCAATGACATTCAACGAATACGTGGCGATCTCTTATGCAGTACCGTTTAGTATATTTGTAGTATTATTTATGATTATGACAATTCTTAACCAACGAGTTCACTCGTTTGTTATCAGTAACGTTCTTGGGATTACTTTCCAAAACGGAACAAAACCGCAGTGTTCGCACACAAACGATCCACCAAAACCAACCAGTGGCGATACAAATACATATTCACTTTATAGGAATATCAGCAAATTTTTGTACATTGAAGATGATGACAGCGAGAAAGAAAAGGAACCAAAAAGATTACCTTGCATCGTTCGTTTCATGACTGATTTTTTCGCTACTGCTATCCTCGCCGTTTTTCTGTCAATCATATTTGAATCGTGCGTACTGTCCTATGAAACAATTGTCGTCCCTAATAAGTGTCCTACATATGATGCGGACTGCTTTGGTACATACAATGGAGATCCTAATTTCGGTCCGTTTAAATGCACAGATGGTCAGTACGCTAATTTTCCAGTGAATTCTACAGGAGTAACATGTTATGGATGGGTATACAAAGATATGACTACTAGTGACATTCTTGAGGTTATTGGTGTGTGCGGTGGACTACTCGGGATCGTTTCTTGTATCGTGCCTTTAGTTTACTATCTTTCCTATTATAAAACAAAATGTTGGGGATCAGTATCGCTTGTATCATACTACCAGCGATTCCGATTGCTGCGTTCATTGCTGTCCCTATAATAATATTTCCGAATGTAATGTCAGAACTGACCATAATTACATTTTCGCTATTAGTCGCAATGACAACTGGTGGTTGGATATGGGCTATTGTTAAATCTTGTAAATCCAGACAACCGAAGTATAACTGTTGCTGCAAATGTGCTGGCTGCGCATCGAGCTGCTGGTCACAGCCCTATAAATACTACCCATGTTGCTGTACCGGTAAAGATAAATGTATGGCATACAGCCCATGTTGTTGTAGAGATAACTCTACTGTTCCTTCAAACAAATAATCAACACTTTCGATCTGTGTGGTCAATCTTGCTCTGTCTCTGTTTCCTATCCGTTTTCAACTAACTGTGACATTAAAGGATTTTTGTTTTCCGAGAATAAATACTTTCTGGCACAGCTGTAGAGCAACGGAATGACGGTTGTACGAAGAAAGAGAGAGAGACAGAGATTTCTGACGTATTTATTCACAGAATAGCGTTCATACTCTCCAAAGAGCTCTACTCTCGTTCGACACCCTTCCCTTTTGATTTTCATTTCTTTTTATCCGCAGATGTACAATTTACGTTAAAGAATTTTCTACAGTATTATGTCGAGTCGTGCTGTTTATGATGGTGTTTTCCGCATATTATTCATTTCAGCATGTAAATAAAATTATGCAGCCCGTGGATGTAGCATTTTTACTCTGTTTTTTTATCTCATAAACAGTATAGGTATTAGCTATGGATAGATCACAGAAATAAAGGGACTAGATTGCAGATTCAAAGAAAATTGACTAAAATATTGATCAAACAATCAGAAAATGATAATAACACACCGACAGTGAAATTAACTCTATGTTAGAGAATAGTTCAATGCTTTTGAAAACAAGGTGTGGAGATTAATAACAATAATAATACGAAGTTGTTATTAAATCTAAAAGTAAGCAAACGTTGAATTAGATTCACAGTCTTCGAAAGAGGGAAGTAGAACAGACCAACGAAGAGGAATTTAATTTTCTACCAAATTGGATATTAGGTACCGAAATTAGGTAAGATTCCTCTGCGTAATATTTAAAGTATTAGGGTATCCTACTGTTTAAATGGCACTGTTCAGATTTAAATTTGTTGTAAAGTGTTACTGATTGTTCAGTTCAAAATTCGATCAAAAGATGCACAATTCGAAGACCTACAACGCTGTATCAAGTTTGTAAAAGTTATTGTTTTCCTTCTCTAGAAACGAGGTCTGAAACCTAATACCGTGCTAAGTAAAAGTTATACTATTACTGGTAAGTTACATTATTTCCTGCTCTATAGAACTACACTACCTTTCAGATAAAATGATGGTTTCATTGGACATAAAGAAGAAAACATGAAGCGAAAAGGTGGGTGGCAAAACGATCTGCTTTAATGAAAAACTGATGTTATCTTGTCCTAATTTTTGTCATATTGATGAAACCGTCCCACATGATCTATTCTAAAAAGCGTTAAAGTTTGAGTAAATCCCAAGTGACAGAAGTATTTCAAACGCTCTGTAATTTTACAGCCAAATATTGAATTTTTCGCCTGCTTTTATTTCGATGTGTAAAACGTTATTTCTCTTCCAATTAATTGTGAAAAACTGTCAAAGTACTAAATTTGAAGAAAAACGCGATCGAATATAAATAAGGATGAATAGTATTAGTATAGTACATTTTTAAACCATATATTAAAGGCAATGTTTATTGTTGTAAATTTTTATCTACTTGTACAATAACTTTATTTGGCACATTTCCATTATAGCGTTTTTTAGCATCTTCAACTATGTGTCCAATATCGGTAACAACCTTTTGTATACTTCGTTCGCGTGATCGTGGGGATATATTTCGTCCTGCCAAAAATTTTTCAGGCATTTCTATGACAAAGTTTTTATCTTTTTGTTGCTGAGTACGTGGACTTGAATCAATTTGTTGTTGATGTGGTGGTTGATTTTGATAATACTGCGTATGCTCGGGTTCCTGGTGATGTTGCGTGTGCTGCGGTTGATTTTCATAGTACTGTGTGGGTTGTGGTTGTCGTCGCACGTCAGTGTTATCATTGTAGTTTATATAAGGTGTAGACATTGGTTCTTCGTGTCGTTGTTGAGAATTATATGTATCTGAATAATAAGCTGGATGATTTTTATTACTTGCTTCTACCGTTTTCCAATGATCTTGCGGAATATATTGTGAAGTATTTGGATGTGTTGATGATATCAGGGCATACGTGGTACCGCCTTCATATGGTTCATTTGTCATAAAATAACCTTCACGAATACCGACACAAGCCAGTATTATATACATCACAATCATGCTTAGCAGAAATAGAAAAAAGCCAATAATAACACCCGCTAATTTTCCAGCAAATGTCACCGAAGGAGCTAAAAGAAACGCGTAAACGAATGGTCTATATTTAAACGAAAATTCGAGAAAAGGTAATATATATTGCTGAATTATGTATTCGATATCAAAAAGGAATCAACATGGAATATTTTTAAAAACAAAAGACCGATAATTGGTGGAGCAGAAAAAATAGGCCATTTTTATATCTCATCTCGTTGATAGTTAAATGCATTTTCAAAACCTCATCTAAGGGTTAAACAAGGGCACAGTATACTGTAAATAAATGTGCAGCTGAAAAGAATCTGTTTTCCATGCTTTTTCTGTAGACAGGTTTTTAAACGCTACACTAAGGAATACGTTATTGCTGCTGGAGCATTCGCTTTTGGAATACTTTTACCACTTCAGCGCAGTGTTTCCAAAAGTGATTTGTTACAAATGTATTCTATTGTAAATCACTTCTCAAAAGTGTTCCCTCTGCTGTCTATCTTAAAAGTGATCTTTCTAGAAAGCGTTTAGCGGAAAAGCGGTTCCTAAAAAGAGCGGTTTGGGGTACACTTTTTTTAAAGTATAGACAATAATGGGGATTTTTAGTTAAAAAGTGAAAGTGTACACTTTTTGATTTCGAATAATGAGTAATAACTTCTAGACTATGGGCTATCTTTTTTTAAAAATATTTTTCCTTATAGCTTCAAAATCTCCTGTAACAAAAAGCGGTCTAAAATCAGTATTTCGCAGTGAAATAATATTTTTCTGACCAAGTTAACGATTCTCTCGACTTAATTGAAATCATCTGCATGAATCGCAAGTCGTTTATGAGAACTTTAAAAAGATCCCATTGTTAGAACTTAATACGGAAGTCTCAGCTCGTCAAACCGCATCGAACTATGTATAAAACGATAAATTTCGAGTGAAAAATAGTGCAATCAAGTTTTTCACCCTGGTCTAAGGCGATTACAGATCATGTAAACCCGCGAGTAGTGTGGGAACACCGAGTTCTCAACAAAGGTTAAATGAATGGAAATATTTTGTCATGCAAAGTGAGCTTAATAGACCGTTAGCACAAACACTGTTAAATGATCGATCAGATCCGATCTGAAAAAGCTCTTCGGAGAGAGAGTTTCATGCAAGGTGAGCTTAATAGACCGCTAGTACAAACACTGTTAAATGATCGATCATTTAACAGTGTTTGTACTAGCGGTCTATTAAGCTCACTTTGCATGACAAAATATTTCCATTCATTTAACCTTTGTTGAGAACTC